GTTTTGGTTGCCAGAGATGCAATGATTCGGTTTACTTCGACGAACAAACAAATACTTGTGAACTGTGTGATGAAAATTGTAAGACGTGTTCAAAAAATCCAATGTTTTGTTTAAGTTGTGAAAAAGGGAGTTTCCTCTCTGATCACCAATGTGTCACAAACGAAGAGTTAAATGGAATTTGCACACAATTTGTACAATCTGGAGGATGTGTGAAATGTATCGAAGGATATTACAGAGAAGGATTAAATTGTTTTGAGTGTAATGAGAAGTGTTCAACGTGTAACAACAGAGACACTTGTTTGACTTGTGATGCAACAAATTACAAGACAAACAGTGGTGAATGCAAACCACAAAGTTCCATTGATGGGTGTGATGTTGAAGTGACACAAAACGGGTGTTCGAAGTGTCAGACTGGCTATTTAACAATCAACTCAAATGAATGTCAAAAGTGTGATGACAGTTGTAAACGTGTACATTGACAAGCAACAGATGCACTTCGTGTGAGTCATCTCGTGTTTTGTCTTCAATTCCAGTTGTGTTGGTCTTTCACAAATAACAAAATGCAATGAAATAACTGATTCAAAATGCTCCAAATGCGCATTTTGGTCTGTTCCAAGCAGTGATGGGATGTCATGCGAATCACAAGTTGTGTGGTGGGTCATTTTGATAGTCGTTCTTATTGTGATATTGGTGGTGATATTGGTTGCTGTTATTACAATTGTGATCACAAAGAAAGTGTTGGAAATTTCACATACAAAAGATTTAGAAAAGACCACAACACTTTTTAAAATGAAAAAGTCAAATATTAAGTTCGAAGCACTTCAAAATGGGATTTGTGTCACTTCCAATTGTATATACTTCACCTCGGAATCAGGAGAAATTCCAGTTGAATGGGAGAGTCGTGATGTTTTGTGTGTTGGCAACACAACAAACATTTGGTCAAAATTCAATTTACATTTTCATCGAATTCCGATAAATTTGATATCAGAGTTGATCCCGAAATTGTGATTCTTAAAAGTGGGTACGCTTGTGAATTCTCAATTTATTTAACACCACATTGCACTTGTAAAATTGATAATACCCTTCAAATAATTTCTAAAGATTTAAAAAATGGCGAAGAAAAATTCAATTTAATTTCTTTGAATGTAACTACAGAACAATCCACTCGAATTGATTATCATGAATTGACAGAAGACAAGAAACTCGGGCAAGGCTCGTTTGGAATTGTGTATAAAGGCACTTTTAGAGGAAATGACGTCGCTATCAAAAAGATGAAAACCATAATTGATGATAATATTTTGGACGAGTTTGCAAAAGAAGTATCTATGTTGGACAAGTTTAGGAGTGAATATATTGTGCACTTTTATGGTGCGGTGTTTATACCAAACAAATTGTGTATGGTCACCGAATTTGCAGCATTTGGGAGTTTACAAGACTTGATGAAACACAAAACAAGTCAAGAAATTGATATGAAAATGCGTGTTAAAATGCTACTTGACGCAGCAAAGGGAATTTCTTATTTGCATGAGAATGGGATATTACACAGAGATGTTAAACCAGATAATATTCTTGTTGTTTCACTTGATAAGAACAGCAAGGTGAATGCTAAATTGACTGATTTTGGAAGTGCTAGGAACGTTAATATGATGATGACAAACATGACATTTACAAAGGGTATCGGAACACCAAAGTATATGGCGCCTGAAGTGTTAAAACACCAAAAGTACAAAAAACAAGCAGATGTGTTTTCATTTGCTATTACGATGTATGAAGTGTTTGGATGGTGTGAAGCTTATGAACATCAGAAATTTAAGTATCCATGGAAAATAGCACAATTTGTCATAAAAGGAAATCATCTTAAAAGAAATGAACAAATTACCGAAGAACAATACACACTTATTGATAAGTGTTGGCGTTACGATGAGATTAACAGAATTTCGGTTTCTGAAATTGGAGAAAGCCTTGAAAAAATGATACATTCATTTTAATATTCATTTTAACACAAAAAACGCAATTAATAATAATTATATATTGATTGATTGGTTCATTACATTGTTGGTATATATAACGCAATAAAAATAAATATTTGTATTGTTACAATATAAACTTAAAAATCAACTTTTATTTTAAACGGTTATTCAAACAGGATAATAAAGTAAAAAATAGTCAAATACTAAATTAGTAATGATGATCATAATTGAAAAATAAATTTAAACAATATTTATACTCACTAAAATATATATAATATATTATATCCATAAACGTTTCACAAAACTAAAAAAACTCAAATAAATTGAAAATAAAATACAATTAATTTTATTTGTAATTTTCTAAAAAAAATAATTTAAATCATAAAATGTAGTTTGTTTTTGTAGTTGATTGTTATAAACTTGTTTAATTATAATTAACTTATCATTTAAAATGTTATACAAATTTTTATCATATTAAATTAAACATAAAATGTCAACAAATAATAGTTATACCAAATACTTTGAAGCACTTTCATCTAACATTTCTTCTTCGCAATATTCTTCATCTTCACATTCAACGTCATCAAAAATTTCTATTGTGTTGTAATCCATTGTTTCGACGTTCTTTTTGTAAACTTTTATTTTTTCTTTGGTGGTCTTTTTAAAAGGTTTTACGATAAATATATTACATAAATGGTCCAATTCTGATTTAATAATAGGTGTCTTCATGAATTTGTAAACATCTTTGTTGCTTTCTATTATTTCTTTTATCTGAGAATTATCGTAATATGTTGTATCCCAATTTTGTTTGTTTTTTCTACCTCCAAAGACTGTTATTTTGTTAATGAAAGGCGATAATATTGAAAATTCGGTGTTGTCCACAACACAAAAAATTGTATTTTCGATGTCTTCAAAATCGACATTTCCCGAAATTTCAAGAACTTCTGCGGCAACTATTTTCTTGTTTGTAACATACAAATAAGGTTTACTTGCTAAGAATGTGTTTTGTTCAAAATAGTTATTGTCGGATTTTGGAGCGCAAACGATAGTTTTGTTCTCGGCTTTTTGTGTAGAAAGTATTCGTAATTTACGACAAATAGCACATTTATTTAAATCGACTCGATTGACTTTACCCTTCAAAGTGACTTCTGTAAAATGTTCAAAATTTTCAAGTTCAATTGGTGCATATATACTTTCAACTGATAGTCTTCTTGAATACCTCGAATCAAACGAAACCCAATTGCCACTTCGTGTAAAAACAGTGTTGTAATACTTTTTTGGTAAAATCACTTCACATTTTAAAGTCGAATAACACACAACTTTGATAGACTCAAGCCACTTGAAATTTTGAAAGTCAAATTTATGTGAACCACATGAGATGGAAATGGTTTTGAGACTTTCAAAACAATTGCAAAAGTCAAAAAATATATTTTGTTTGTTTTCTGTGATAAATTCAAAATCAATAAGCTTGGAGTTTGGGCGGAAAAAGTATTCTTTTTTATCAGTCTTTTTGAGTATAATGTTTCCTTCAACTTTAAGATTTTTAATGTTCGGTAAATTGACATTTTCCGTGTCGATTTCAACATGTTTTGAAGTCACTGAAAGTGATTTTGTAAATTTCTCTTCTATAAATTTTATCGGCAATCCCGTGTTCAAAATCAACTCGATATTTTGAAATCCAGTACCTTTAAAATTAATATGTTCCAATGTATTTTCTTCAATTGATAATTTGAGTTTAGAAACTTTTAAATCTCTGTATTTGTATATCACATCTTTCATTGAAATTTCATCTAAAACACCAACACTCTGTTTTGAAATATCAGACTTATTTTGTTCTATCTTTTCATCTTTTGTTTTAATAAATAATTTATAGTCAACTACTTCCAAATTATGAGAGCGTGTAGGGATGTTATAATTATTTTTATCAGTGTTTGTAATTACTTTAAACATTATTTGTCGACATTTTTCTGCGCATTGTTCCAATGCATCTTTCTGTTGGCAAGTCAATTGATTGTTGTAAAATATCATTTTTGTGATACACTGCAAATTTGGATTATCCACAATGTTAAGAAGGTCAGTAGGAATAAAAGAGTCAACGACGACCACTTTTCTGACGTTGTGCAATTGGTACAAATCACAAAGACAATCCCCCAATATTTTAACACCAAATATTTTCCATTTGAAATTTTCGTGAATTGTACGAATGGAAACTAAACTTTGAGATCCATCAATCCACGTGATTTGGTCAACCATTTCTTTGGTAATTTCATTTTGCGCTTCGTTGATATTCCCTTCATATGTTTCAAGATTGGGAATGTACTTGCGAAGAAACGGAATGTAACGTAATACCCGAGGCGGATTAATGTGCAACATGGAAACTGCCAAACGACACTTTTCAGAGACATTCAAAAAATTCCTAAAAGTGGTAGTTGAATCTAAATAAAGCACAATATTAGCCAAGAACACTGGTTCAATATGTTTATTATTAATAGTCATATGAAATTGGTTTTTTTGAATTATTAAATAGTTGAGTCAAGATTCAAAACCTCTTATTATTTTAATTTTAATATTTTGAGTCTTGACTTTTTTGATTTTTGTTATTAAATACATAAGTAACAATTTAGGTATTAAAACTTTTATTGTTGTATCAACACGTACAGACGTGGTACCGAGGTTTCGACCAGGACTATTTACTATCAACTAATATTAATTTTTGTTAATATATATTAATATAGTGGTATATTTTTTTTTCTCTTATTCTTCTACTTATTTTTAATACAAAATGGGTATATTTATTTATTTACAGTTACTATTCTTATTTACTATTAAGCATATACTATATATATGGTTAATTTTACTAAATTAAATAGTAAGTTGTGATACAATTTAAAAAACGATAGTTAACAATTGGACTAATTTAAGTTTTATCAAAGTTTAGTTGATATGTAAAGAGAAATTTTTAATTGGTATACACATAATAATAGTATATGTTGAATTATATTAACTAAACAAATTACTAACATTAAAATGAACAAACAAACTGGTGTTTACAAAAAACATATAATATTAATAAAAATTTCCCGTCACCGAGTGATGGTTTAATCTGGTGCCATTGAGACATATGACTGGATGAGACCAATCCACTGGACACATATTTTTTTTTCTATCCACTGGACAAACCAGTTTCTATAAATGGAAAAAAAAAAAAATTATTTAAATAGATTATTTGTTTCTATGTAAACAAAATTTTATTTTGCCGAATTATATTTTTATACTGTTTGTGAATTTTCAATAATATTGGAATGTATTACAAAGGTTAAAACAATAGTAATTATGAACAAAATTTTCAAAGTACATCGTGGTATAAAAACAACGTACATATTTAAATATGTAATCATATTAGATATAGACATTATTACTGAAATTATAATAAAATATTTACCATATCAAATATCATAATATTAATTATAACAACGTTGTAATTAACTCAAAAAACCAATTTAATTTTAAAAAAAAACTTTCAAACAACAAATACAACTAAACGAGTTGTTTATTTTTTGTTTTTGTTGTATATTAAGTTGTCTATGATATCAATATAGACAATCGTCTGTTATTTCAATGTTTTTTCTTGACATTTTGATGCATACAAATATATTCAACATCAATTCAAATGTAATCAACAATTTACGTTTTTTAATAGCATTAATAATATTTTAATTATACTTATATTTAAAATTTACTCAACAATGATTAACATAAATAACAACCAAGTGACTAATGAAGTAACAATTAAATTTTCTTAAACAATCTCAATTTATTACTAAAATATACACAATAGAAAATATATCAACAATACATGGTTAATTTATTGAAGTTCATTGTTTGAAACCTTTTAATTGTTATTAGTTTTAAAAGTTCAAACAACATAAAAATGTAAATAAACAACCAGATATAACAACACTAACATCTAATAAAAAATAAAATTATAATACATTTATACTCAAAATGTGTTTACATGTATAACTAAACTGAAAATATAATTGTTGGTTTATAATTAATAATATAACACTTATTCAAAATAAACTATTTATTTTGGTTTTAATGTATTTACACAAACCAATAAAATAATATTATACTTATTTAAGTATTGCATTAAACAGAAAGAATATCTCGTATGATGTAATTATCATAAATAAATATAAAGTATACTACATATTTAACATACACAGAAAAGTAAATAATAAACTTCCTTTTCTTGCAACATATTGTTTTCTAAGTTATAAATAAAATCATCTATTAAAAATTTAATGCTAATTATTATATTGTATTGAAAAAGTTTTTATTTTGTATATTTAAGCTTGTGTGGTTAAAAGTACCTTAAATTTTATTATTCGAATAACATTTTATTTATAAAATCAAGAAGAAGCGGACAATAAGAAGAAAGCGTATTTAATCATCTTAAAAACTTTCATTTTGTTTTATATCTTTTTATTATTTAACTAGGATTTATCTGTCACATTGTGACAGAACTCATCATTAAATTATTGAAGTTTGTCCATTAACTGTATTTTTAGTCAATTTTCAATGAAATGTTTCAAACTCGTGGGAGTAGATAAGCTTCAAAAAGGGATATTACAAATATAAATATTTTAAAATTATATAACAAATAACACAACAAATAACATAAATATTATTTTTCCCATTTGACATATATAATGAAGTATTTTGCCACATAATGTGGCAGAATACATTATTATATAATTATTTAATAGTATAACTATAATATAAATATATTACATGTTTTATTAAACATTGACCATCCACATCACTTTTACAAAAATAAAACATATGTTTTTTTGAAAGAATACCACCTATATATATGTATCGAATGTATCCGGTACCTTTTGAACCATAATTATAAATAATTACGTTTAAAAATTTAAAAATATTTATTTTATTATTCTGGTTTTTTAGCTTATTTCTTTTGTTTAGATATAAAAAAACTATTTCTGTTTATTTAATATTTAAAATATCAGAAAATAAACTTATGGCACTGTATACAACAGCGATTGTTTATATATGTTATATTGATTATGCAATAAAACAGTTCATAAATAATGTGTTATGTATGTTTGAGATTAAAAGTTATTTCGCCCCATATTTTATCACCCTTTATTTTATCACCCCCACTTTTCATTTTTAATTCAATAAACAATTGAAATTTTGTAACTTTAATTGAAATTGTTTTTCGTTTTTATTAGAATGTTCTGTGTATTATTTATAGTAAAATTTTAAATTAAAAATTAACAAATAATGTGTTTGATTACTTAAGTTGAAAATAGCATTATATACAAAAACGATTATTGCAAAAGAACAAGTAAAAGTTAACAAAAGCGAATAATAGAAAACTCTATGTAAATATTTATATTTGTATCTATAGTTATATTATGAAATAACTAAATGGTTTCATTTAATATTCACAAAACGCTTTTGATTCAATTTCAAATAAAATACTTTCCAAAATTATTACATTAATTTATTTATAATATTTAGTGTAAAATAAAACAAATACAAATAGCAAACAATAATAAATATGCAAAACGATTTAAAACCAAATTACAATTTAACTATTTGAAATAAACTATAAATAATCAATGCATCCATTACAATCCAATACCATTGCTCCATAACATTTCGCGATATTGAAATCTTATAGAGACATGGAATTGCCTTATATTAATGGTTACAAATATTAACCCAAAACTACTTCACGAGATTATTTTAGGTGTATAACGTGTGGTAAAATTATTTATTGTTTCAAAGACGAAAATGGACATATAACAAATTTTGAGTTTTGGGGGAAGAAAAAATACATAGTCACTATACAACAGATTATTGGGATAATCTATTATGTTTAAAATTAAAACAACAATCATTAATAGATTCTGGAACTTTAAAAAGTCCAATTGAAATAGTGAATGAGGCTTATATTCATGGATCTTTAAAACGACTTTCAGTTTGTGTGGGAATAGTTAAACATATTCAAAAAATTGGACCCAACTCAAAAATGTCTCTTCTATAATTTTAACAAAAGAAAAAAGGAAATGTTGTACAGATGTGGTATTCACCCTTATGTGATACCCACAACCTTATGCGATTTTCTAAATATAAAAAACTATAAATGATAAAAAAATCAATACTTTTATTATTAAAAAGGCAAAAAACACGGTTTTATACAAAAAACAGAGAAACTGAATTATGAGGCTTATGCGATTACAAAAATAAAAAAGATTGATTTGGAAAATTTAAGAAGACAATTTAACAAAATGAAAATCAACAAAAGGAGTTGAACTAAAATGAACTAATCTATCACACTCTCTATACAAAAAGCGAGTAAAGTGAATGGTAGAAGGCAACAAAAGACGTGTTGCCTTCTACCAGCAAAGAAGTCACAGATATTCTCAACATGTGCAGACAACCAGCCCGGAGTGCTCATCCAAGTCTTTGAGGGTGAGGCATCATGACGTCACATTTCAAGATACTTGGCAAGTTTGAGTTGTGTGGCATCCCATCCGCACCACGTGATCTCCACAAGTGGAAGTCACAATTGACATTGATGCAAATCGTCTCGGCTGAAGACAAGACAACAGGTAAAAGAAGAACAGGATCACAATCACAAACGACAAGGGAATACTTGCAAATAAGCAAATAGACAAGATGGTTGAAGACGCAGAGAAGCTCAAGGCAGAGGATGACAAGATGAAGGAACTAGTCGAGGCGAAGAATGGACTTGAGAACTACTGCTACTCGATGAAAAACACACTCACTGAGCAAATTGCAGCAAAGCTCTCACCAGACGACAAGGCCGCAATTGAAACAATTATCAAGGTACACTCGACTAATGAGTTTTGAACACAACACTGTCACGTGTAACAGCTGGAAGACTTTCAAAGGAGCAGATAGACACAATCGTTGCAGACGCAAAGGAATTATTTGTTACGTGTCTTATAACTCGTTTTTATTGAAAACTGTTTAAAATTTATTTCACACCATGGTCAGGATTTTTTATTCATTTCCCGATTGTTTAAAAAAACAAAGAGATAAATAGCTACAAATCGGGTTTAAGATGAAAAAAATTAACCATGTTCACATTGATCAATACACATTTTTTGTTTTGAATTGTCTCAATTGATGTTGGTGTTATTTCTTCATGAAAATGATTGTTTTATTAATATATATATGGAAATAACTAAAATAACTCATGATTTGATTTATTTTTGTATAGTTTTTCATAATAATAATAATACTAAAAATTATTCTAAAAAATCGCATAAGCCTCAAGGTTTCACATAAGGTTTAATGACCATACTGTAATATCAAGATGAATATGTATTAATATTTGGCGCAAAGAATATTATGATTTTGTCAAACGTTCAAATGTTTTGTTTATTGACGGTACTTTCAAATTGTGTCCCAGTTTGTTAGTTTTAACATCATAAACATTGTGTTTATCAAGCTTATTAAAAATAAATGTTATTAATAACAAATTGTATAATTATATCTGTTTGCAAAAAAAACATAATATTTTGTATAACTTATTTCACGGAATTATTTTCACAACTTTACACCATACATGCAATGCAAAATGGTCAAAGTTTTCCTGTATTTTATTGTTTAATGACCGCTAAAAATTTGAAGAGTTATACTTTTTTATTTAATAAAATTGAAGAAATATGTGAATCGCAAATTTTCCATGAAAACAAAATTGTAATGGGAGATTTTGAAATTGTTTTTTTCAAACAAATCTTTGTAAATGACACAATTTTAAAAAATTGCCATTTTCATTTTCGTCAATCAATTTTCAGAAGGGTATTAGCACTTGGGTTTTCTGACCGTTATAAAGATGGTGATATTTTTAAAATGGAAGTTAAAATGCTAATGTCTTTGGCCTATTTACCAGAAAAGATAAT